TCATAACCAAGATCATACACTTAAATATCTTTAAAAACCAAAAAATGAGTGTATGAATTTCAAAAATAAGTCGCTAGAAGGAGGGCTTGAACCTCCRACCTTGTGGTTAACAGCCACATGCTCTAGCCAACTGAGCTATTCCAGCTTGTTTTAAACAAATGGACTATGATTATAAATTTTCTTAAAGTTCTCTCTGATCTCACGTTATAAAATCTCTTTACATCATATTAAATTGGAAAAACATACACGAAGAATATGGTTTTCCATAACAAAAGTTAAATCTATAAATTTCATACTTCAGAGAAAAAAAACATTAGAAAAATTTTGCAAGATTTAAGAAAAATATTTAGCGTTGACTAATTAACTCATATATTAAAGTTGATTCTATACCTATCAAGAAAAATACTTAAAAGCTTACTGGTCATTTAGAGATGTTTTGGGCACTAATTTTAGGTACATTCAAATATAAACTTAAACTTACAAAATTAAGATAAATAGACACAAAATTGTCATTATTATTGGAGTCTTTTTATATATTAGGGTAATATTTAAACTTTCAGTTATATAATTCTTTTTTTTAAGATAAATGTGTTAAAATTAGTTGACTACAAATTCACATGCAAATATGAATTAGATCTCAGTCTTCAAATTTCTAAATGGTTTAAAGAAATTCATACCTTGCTTCTCTAATTTGCAAGTCAAGCTTATCATCATCCGTCTAATTTAGCTCCTTAACCAAATTTCAGTACATACTAAGTTTTGGAATTAGAAATATATTAGTCAGCCAAAATAAAGTACACAAAAAATTGACCAACTCATAATTTAACCAATAATATAATAAACAAAGAAATTGAAGTGTTTTGAGGATTAGTTAAGGGAGAGAGATTAAAAGAAGCAGGGGAACCTACTGGAGCTGAGCATGGTGATGTCTTCGAAAGTGTGCACTTTTATTGCTTACGACAAAAGGTTAAAGTTGAATTATTAGTAAACAATTATAAGTTTGTTTAGCATAAATTTAATTGTAAGTTTATTTCATGCAATTGGAGGAGTTTAAACTTTGATGTAATTGTGCCACATTCTAATTAAGTCATTTCCATTTAAAGTTTTGCTATGAGTCCTTTTCAATACATGCAACATTTTTTGTATAGGAGAATCAAAATTGTTAGTGTTTTTCATTATTTGTCTTTAAGAGTAGATTAGTCTTTTCTTCTTTAGGGTTAACGATTTATATAAGCATCACATTGTGTATTTCAATTGTATTCAATTATTAATAAATCAATCCCTAATTTTATCTCTCTATGTTTTCATGGTATCAGAAGTTGGTTCTATTGATGCTTAAAGATCCCAGAAATTGAGAAGGTATATGCTTTGTTTCATGGGTTGCTGATACTTTTGATTTGATGTGTGACAAGAGGAGTCGGCAAATTTTGTTTTTAATTTGATTCGATTTTGGTGTGGTGAGCATGAAGATTGCAAATCTGTTTACAATTTGGTGGTGGGTTTAGTCGCAATTTAGTGGTGGATTTAGTTGCAAATCAGTTTGCAATTGTGGTGAGAATGTTTTTTTTTTTTCCTGTGTGGTGAATTTAATTGCTGATTGATTGTGCTTCAATATTTTGGTGATGGTCTTTTGACGTTGAATTTGCTGTGATGGTGCCTTCTAGCTTCGATTTTGGTGATGAATTTTGACTTGGAATTTTGGATTTTGAGTTCATGTGGCTATCCAGTGTGTTTTCTTTGCGAAATTTTGGTGGTGAAAAAGAAAAAAAACGAAAAAGAAAAATAATTGGAACTTTGATTATGTCGTCATGTTAATTCGTAAGGATGATTCTATTCAGTCAATTAGTGTACAACTGGATGGTAAAAATTATTCTTATTGGAGTTATGTTATGAATAATTTCTTACGTGGAAGATCTATGTGGAGTTATGTTACAGATGTTCGAGTTAAGCCTAAAGACACCAAGGCAGATGACTATGCATCCTCATTGGATACTTGGGACTTGGGAGGTTGACAATTCGAAGATTATCACATGGATAAATAATTCTGTTACACACTCTATTGGTTCTCATTTAGTAAAATATGATATTGCTAAACAAGTTTGGGATCATTTAGCCAAATTGTATACTCGATCTAGAATTTTGCCAAACAAAATCAATTGGAGACGGATATTCGTGCGTTACAGCAAAATGATATGAGTATTCAGGACTTTTACTCCTCTATGTCAGAATTATGGGATCAATTGGCATTAACAGAATCCTCAAAATTAAGCATATTTGAAGCTTACATTTCTCGGAGAGACTCACAACGCTTGGTCCAATTTCTTATGGCTCTTCATCATGATTTTGAGCCATTACATGGATCAATTTTACATCTTACTCCTCTTCTTTTTGTTCATGCAGTGGTTAGTGAACTATTAGCATAGGAGATTTGTCTTAAGTCTAAAAAAGATAAGAACAAACCTCCTCAATTTGCGTTCTGCAAAAAGAAGGGTCGTTGGAAGGCTCAATATCTGATGTTGAATAAGGTGGGTAAATCGCAACACAAGCAACTACAACAACAAAATTATCCGACATCACAGCAGCAGAAGCAATCTTCGCAACCCACTCCATGGACATATCGACTGCTTCAATCCAATAATGGAGTGGCGGCCCCATCTTTGGATCCCTACATGTTTGAGCAGTTTCAGAAGTTCCTGGTTTCACAGCCTCATGCTATGTCTGGCTCGTCTTCTAAATGTTTGTCATCGCTTGATACTTCAGGTATATCCTCTACCTTATGAGTCTTGGATTCAGGTGTCTCTCATCATATGTCTCCTAGTTTGTCCTCTTTTGTTTCATTGTCTTCTCATTCTTCTGTATCAATTGTGACTGCTGATGGCACTCATATGTCATTAGTAGGTGCGACTCAATTGTTACTCCTTTTATGGCTCTTGGATGTTTATTATATTCCTAGTCTTACTTTGAACCTTGTCTCTATTAGTCAATTATGTAAATCTGGATACTTAATTTTTTTTTTCGTCTTCCACTTGTTATACAGGACTCGTGGCCTTAGAAGAAGATTGGGACAGATCATAGGCAGGGGGGGACTCTATGTTTTGGATCAACTCAAAGTATCATGTTTTGCAGCTTCCTAGTGTGGCATTCTCGTTTGGGTCATGTTTCTGCATCTCGTTTGTGTTTCTTAGTGTCTACAGAAGCTTTGGGATATTTAGACAGTCATGATATTTCTGATTGTAGTGGTTGTAAACTTGCAAAATTCTCAGCTTTACCTGAGCTTTGTATCGTTAAATAGATCCATCAAATTTAATTTTAATCTTATAGAGCCAACGAGAGCCAATAGTACGTTTTCCAAATGGTAGCGGTACCAAATAAAGAAGTTGTTGAATCGATATGACAACCCTAGAGAGGGTGAATAGGGTTTAATGAAACTTTTTAAACTTTTTACTATGATGGACTCAAATTAAACAAATAAGTAAACTTTTTATGAACAATTAATTTTATCACAAATTAAACAATAAATTAGAAATACTAACACCCTAAATAATTTCACCATTCTAATATTGCACGTAAATATGAATAAAAAATTATATCAATTAATTTTATGCAATTTATAATAAAGAAAATTAATTGCAAAAATTAAATAGAGTAGGGTTAGAGAAAATGACATCGGAAATTTTATAGTGGTTCGGCAACACCGGCCTATTCCACTCCCCAAGCTCCTATTGGGTATTCCACTAGGAAACTTGACTCTTTCTACGGTAGGATTCAAACCAGTACAAAGTCTTCTTTTTCTGGGAGCAAGAGGAAACCCGATCCTTTCCACGGTTTAGGATCAATCCGTTACAACATTCTTTTTCGGGCTTAAAAGTAACCCTTACGAGATTTGAAATTTGCGAACAAACTTACAAACTTTCTCAAAGAGTGGGTATACAAGTTTTTGCTCAAAAAATTGTAAGAAAAATTCTTACAAATAAAAACCACAAATGACTAAGAAAAATAAAATTAGGTAGCTCAAATATCTCTCTCAAATTAAAAGTTTCTCTCATAAGACATTATATAAACATTGAGATTTTGGAGAGAAAAACATAAAAAAGATTGAAGAGAAAATTGAGGAGGAAATTGTTGAAAATTTAGAGAATGAGGGGTTTAAATAGAGGATGAAAAGTTGTGAAGAAATTTGAAATCGAAATTGAATTTGGGTCATTGGATTTTGAATTATTGAAAATGAAAAGTTGAGATTTAATTGAATAAAATAATAATAATAGTAATAGTATATTATATATAAAAATCACTCAAACGGCCAGTTGAAAAACATTTTTTTTTATTTTTGTTATTATTATTTTTTAAACTAACCCATGCGTCATTTGCATTAATTGAGTTTTTTTTTAAGCCTTCTAAGTTATCGGTTGTAACTTATATATATAATTTTTTTCCTTTTTTCATTTCAATTTTCTCTCTCCTTTTTTTCTTTCATTTTAATTTTCTCTTTCTTTTTTTTTTCTTTTTAACACCAAGCCACATGTCAGCATTTCACTGGTCCACTTAGTTGATTCAGCCACCACGTCATCCACCTCGGGCATTTATCCTTTCAACTTCGTTCGGCTATAACTTCTTCGTTTGAACTCCGATTTGGGGAATTCAAAAGATGTTGGAATCCTTATTTCGAGCTTTATGCTGTGGATACTTCAAAACACAAAAATTGTCAAATAACATAATTAAGTTTATTATCATCAAAACATTAATTAATTAATTTGAGATTAAGGGCCAAAAAGCCAACAGAAGTTTATATTACTCCTCGTCTTGGTGTTTCTCACAAATCTGGTGAAGTTTGTAGACTTTGCAAAATACTTTATGGGCTCAAACAAGCACCTTGTACTTGGTTTGACAAGTTCTCCACAGTTGTTACTTCACTCGGTTTTATCTCTAGTCATTATGATTACACATTGTTTGTCAAATGTACAAGTGTACGCCGTATTTTGTTGTTGTTGTATGTTAATGACATGATCATTACGGGTGATGATTGTGATGGAATAGAATCTTTAAAGTATGACCTCTCTCGTTGGTTTTCTATGAAAGACTTGCGCATGATGCACTACTTTCCTGGTATTGAGGTCGCTTATTCTCCAAAAGGTTATCTCTTATCTCAGTCAAATTATATAGCTGATTTGTTTGATCGTGCACATTTCACTGAAAACAAGATTGTTGATACTCCTCTTGAGCCCAGTGCCCGATATTCTTCGTCGGATGGTGTTACTTTGTCGGATTCCAGTTTGTATCGTACTATTGTTGGTAGGTTGGTCTATCTAATTGTGACTTGTCTAGATATTGCACACACTGTTCATGTGATTAGTCAATTTGTCACTGCTCCTACTACAGTTCAGTGGTCTGCTATTCTTCGTATTCTCAAGTACCTTCAAGGCACTCAGTTTCAGAGCCTCTTGTTTCCCTCCACGTCTTCTTTAGAGTTGCGTGTTTATTCTGATGCTGATTGGGCTAGTGATCCTACTGATCGCAAGTCAACCACTGGATTATGTATTTTCCTTGGTGATTCACTTATTTCATGGAAGAGTAAGAAACAAGATGTTATTTCTCGATCTTCTACAAAAGCCGAGCATCGTGCCATGGCCTCAACTACTTGTGAAATTGTTTGGTTACGTGGCTACTTGCAGATATGGGCGTTTATCTTCATCATCCTACTCCCTTATATTGTGACAACCAGAGTGCCATTCAGATTGTGCGCAATTCATTTTTTCATTAGTGAACCAAGAATATTGAGATTGATTGTCATGTCACTCGCCACCATCTCCAGCATGGCTCTATTACATTGCCTTTTGTTTCTTCATCTCTACAAATTACTGATATGTTTACCAAGGCACACTCCACTTCGCGCTTTTGTTATTTATCTGAAAAACTCTCAATGCTTATCATTGTAGCATCGTGAGTTTGTGGGGGAATGTTAGCATTAATATTTTTATCATTATTATTATTCGTCTTTGAGGGTAGATAGTCTTTTCTTCTTTAGTTAGACTTATATAAGCATCATATTGTGTATTCCAATTGTATTCAATTGTTAATAAATCAATCCATAATTTTATCTCTCTATGTTTTAAAAAATCATAATAAGAAAACCCTACCCCTAATGACTATGCTTTATATTGTTGGAAAAATTAAATAAAGATCAATTCATGATTATTCTAAAGTAAGGGTCATAGAATTCAAAACAATCGGGACAATTGATCTAAGCGGGGAAGAAAACCAAAATATATAAATACATTAGAATTACCTGGAACCATGAGATAGATTGATCATGACCGGCAAGAAGTTGTGGTTTATGGTTTTCCTCAACTATGCAACTCGGACCAAAGTATAGGCAATTTTCACTGTCTGATGGAGAACATGTGGCTCAAGTCATATAGTGTATTAGGGACCATAACTATATATTTATATGTTAATCGTATGGTTTCTCATAATTACCTAAGATTAATGGGTTGGTTTCTACTCATCAAACGACCACCACTATATGGGATGTCATCGGCTCAATAATCAAAATCACTAATATGCCCATTAAATAACTCAAATATAATTGTTCTTTAATTTGTTACCCATATATGAATTAATTATTAAATTAATTCCAACAATCTCCCAGTTGGATACTATGAAGACAACCTAATGATAAGGTTTTATAATCATATTTCTTAAGTTTGTTGTCACACACAAAATACTATGAAAACAAACTTCAACGGTGATAGGGACTAAAATGACTCTAATTCACTCTTTCGAGATAGTAGTGAATATAGCCTCAAAGATGGACCTAGAAGGCGACTAATATCATCAAATTCAAATTGTCTTACGTGTTGGAATTGATTTAATAATTAATTCACATGTGGGTAACAAATTAAAGAGTAGTTATATTTGGGCTATTTAATGGGAATATGAGTGACCTTGATTATTATCTCATGACTTCCCATTTAGTGGTGTGACTTGCTGGGTAGAAATCAGCCCATTAATGTTAGGGAATTATGGGAAACCTTAGGATTAACCTATAAATATATGATTATGGTCCCCTATACACTATGCTTCCTGAGTCTCCTATTCCTCATCAAATAGAGAGTATTGCCCATATTTGGTCGAGGTTGCATAGTTGAGGAAGACCACAAACCACCACCAGGTAATTCTAATCTCTTTATAGATTTTGGTTTTATTCCATACTTAGATCCTTGGTCTTGATTATTCTGGAATTTTATGGCTTTTATTCTAGAATAATTATGAATTGAGATTTATTTAAATTTTCCAACAAGTGGTATCAGAGCATGGTTTTGCATGGATGATTACTGGATCTTTAAGAGTTAAGTTCAAGCATGTTGTTCTTTTAATAACTTATTTATTTAAACAACATGTTATTAGACTTATTTGGATTGATAAGATGTTGAACAATTTTTACATCATTTAAAATTCTTAATTGATTGAAAATTGTTCGAATTTATGCCTGACTAAGTTGATAAAGTTTAATTTTTTTTATTAACAAATTAGTTATGAGGGTGAATCTTTAGTTTTCGTTAAAAGAAAAAATTAAAGAAATTGTGGCACTCCAATAAGGCGTCGCTTGAAGATAACAGATGGGGCTAGAAGATAGTGCCSTAACACCAACTAATTGTGAAATGTTGCAGTGGCCTTTGGCGCACTGCAACTTACTTACAGATATATTACTTTTTTTTTTTAATTTTTTGGCTAATTATTTAATTTTTAATAATTATTTATTTAGTTATCAATTTATATTCTATTGTGGATATCTTACCACATTTAAATATGGAGGGCGATTTAATTTCTCTTTTATGTTGTGCTACTTAAAGATCGTTGATTGGGATGAATCAATTAACAATTTATCAATATTTGGCACAATTTTTAAATTCTTATGTATGTTTTGATGTATGAATATTATTGTTAATTGTTGAAAATAAATTAAGTATTTTATTTTTGTATGGAAACAGTTAACACTAAGTAATAAATAAATTGTGAGATTTTAGTATTGTTGATTATGCGAATTGTGATCGGCCGAAAGAAGATCACAATTTGGCCAAACAACAAATACAATTCCAATTATGGGATGAATTATTGATATTTGATTATTGTGCGCTACAATTAGTGCTCTGTAGGCTATGTCGAGTTGTTAATGAGTTAAAATATCAATAAAATTCCTTTTTAGGCAATCTTGTTTTGATTATTTTTCTTTCTGGATCTATAGATTATTTAGATTACTTTTCCCATTATTAAATTATGCATATAAAGATATTATTATTAATTCTAAAAATAATTTTGGTAATTTTATTTTCATAAAGATAAGAATTAATAATAATTAAAGTTACATATGTTGCATAATTGTCTGATTCTTTTGGTTGGTGTTAATTTGATGAATCATGTTCCCAAAGTAGCCTCTGATTTCTGATATTGATATCTTTCAACATTATCAGATGTTTGTGGGCCTGTGTAATTATGCACTCTGTAGTCGGCCCAAAGGAAGACTTTAGTTTGGCTAAATAACAGGTCCACATATAGTCAGATAGTAACATGGATAATATAAAGTTATGTCACGTGGGTGATTGTCGGCCCAAAGGAAGGCTTTCACTTGACAGGATTGGTTATCAATGTTTAATCACCACATTGAGAGTACCACTTGCAAGTTGATATTGTCGGCCCAAAGGAAAGCTATCAATGTTGTGTTAGGTATCTTGTTGTCCTCATTGAGTTTAAATATAATGTATTTTTATAAATACTTAAGGTTAATTTCGAGCATGTTTCATTGTTGAATGAGTCATTGTTAAATATTAATTCATTACCTTATTATGAATTTAAGAAATATTTTTAGTTGATTTAAGTTGCATGGATTTTTTTTAAATTTAAAGGAAATATTTCTACTTTTCACTAATCAGTATTCCTCTAAGGTTAAATAGAATCTTGAAAAGTGGGAGAAACTTGGGGATTTCGTTTAATGAGGAGATAATTAAGATTGTTCTGAAAAGAACAAAAGGAATATAATTTAAATTTTTGATAAAGAACAAAGGAACACTAGTGAGTACACTAAAGGATCAAATGCACAAAATTTAAAACATTCAAGGATTTACTTGTATTTTTTATACTTATTTGAGACATTATACAGTTAGTATGTAGTTGTATGTAGTGGGTTATGATAATTATACAGGTAGATAATTGAATTCTTAATAACCTAATTTTTGACCATATTCTTTTAAAGAAAACGAGTTAAGTAAGAAAATACAAAATGTACTCATTAATTAATTATTTCCTTAAAGAAAGAAATTAAAGTTTGTACTAATGTTTATTTGGAACATATTTTTGCATAAAAATACAAAAGAATCAAGCTTAGGACTTGTCTTGATATTCTTGGGAAATTTGAACATATAAAAAATATATATATGTTCCAAATACATTGCCACATAAAATATAAAGAAAATATAGCTTCTGACTTTGGTATTTAACAAGCTAGACTTGCACATGAAAACTTATCTTATGTGTTTAATAGACTTTGGTGTTTTTATTATTTGCTTGTTGGTTCTAAAGATTAAACAGACATTCGAGTCTGTATTAAGAATGATCAAGGAATTGGAATTGTCGGTTGAGAACTCTCAAAAAGAGAGTTATTCTAGTGTTTATTTGGGTGAACATGTGCATTAAAATATCAAAGTGTGTCGGTTTTAGGTCATAATTAGCACAAATAGTGTTTAATTGCATGCTAGAGAAACAAATGTAGCATGTCAAACCGGATCAGCACCCACAAGTCAGATTTGCACAAATAGTCTTCAGAACTTTGGCAAAAAACAGTATAAACTCTCGTATTTGTGGTTCTTTTGCACAGGTTTTTAAGGAGGGGCCGAGAAGAGAAAGAAGTGCGGAACCAGAGAGGAAAAGCCAAAACATTGTTAAGTTGGAGCAAATAAAAGCTGGAGCATAGCGATATCAGGGCATGGGTGTCCGTACAGTTAATTCAAAAACACGAGATTCACTTATGTCCGTACAATCCCCAGTCGGGTGCCCTAAAAACGGGACCCGATATTTAAAGGAAAGTTTGTCCTAGCCGACAGACACTCAGATCCGAAGGGAGACAAAATTTGAGAGCTAAAAAGACCAAGGGAGGAAATATACCCATTTTGGGGAGGAGAGCTAACGCCAGAAGGGGGAAGCTCGTCTGCTGCTTTGCGCTAACTACTCTTTTTCTCTGTCATTTAGCTAATTTTCTACTATGAGTTGTATTTCTTCTTCTTCCATTTTGTTTTCTTCACCCATTATGAGCTAAACCCCATTTCGGGGGAGGTTCACACGCTGTAACTGACTTGAAACCGAATCTCTAGAATGCTACATTTATTTTTAAGCAAATCTGAATTTATTTCACAATTCTTCGCATTACTGTTGGCCGCTGCTTCGTGTATGCTAGCTCCGATATTGACCCGAAAGGGCTTGTGGGTGCTGATTTGTTTTGCTTATGATTAGCACTTTTCTATAGCTATACGGATACTCAGGAATGGGGTCCCCTAATCATGCTTATAGTTTGGATTTATTGCTTGGGTATTTAGCAATGGAAGTTGTATTTACTCATGTTTGGGGTGTCTTGGAAGGGAACCGAGTCGAACTGGGCACTAATAAATGTTAGCTACACTAGAGTATAGGTTGATAATGTATTAAAGTATACTGAATCTCCCCTGCCACCTTCATTTCTTTTAGCCCCCATTATCGCTTCATGTGCTGCTA